CCAGTGAAATATGAAATGTGTGAGAAGATGTATTGAGACGGGTGCTTCTCAGCTCACTATAGCTCAATTGGTAGAGTACTAGGTCAGCATGGACCACACCCCATGTTTGGTCCCAAGGGCTGGGCATAGTGATGCACAGTCCTCATCCCAACACTCAGGAGATGGAGGCAAGAGCATCAGTTCAGGGTCATCGTTGGCTACATGTTGAATTTGAGGCCAGCCAGATATTCATGAGACAGTGTCTAAACTCAAAATCAAAATAGAAAAAGAAAGATTGACACTTCTTAGCTACAACACTTTAGGAGTAGCCTTGATGAAGGAGCAATGTAGGAATCTTCTCTGTGGGACAGCCACTTTCCTGAGTGTGGGGTGCCTGCAGCTTCTGGAGGAGACAGGAGCAGAAGCTATCAAGAGGAGGGCGAGACCCTCTGCTTCCATGTGCAGAGGTTTTTCCTGTTCACAGACTGGCTTGAACTCCTTATGTTTGAACCTCTTGGTCTTCCAAACCCGAGGTCCAGCAGGAGCCGCACCTGCACCTTGTTCCAGGTAGGGTAGGGTCTGTAGGAAAGCCATTGCTTTGCATGTGCAAATGGCTCCACCTCATTTCCATGTTCTTCTCCATTTCTGTTGGAAGAACTGCTGCTCTTCTGAGCATCCCCATATGGTATGTCTTCTTAGACCTGTTTCAGTATTGCCTTCTCTATCCACATGTCCAGTGTTTCTTCAAACAAAGCACAGATCCCAAGAGCAACTTCACATTCCCCAGGAAGACAGAGCTGCCCACTTAGGGAATGGGCCTCCTAGAGTCAGGGACCTAAATCTTGCTTTTACTGTCCCATTTTTAGAGAAAGTCTGGATCAGAAATTCCTGACCAAAGCAAACTGCCCACTCGCCTCTTCCCCTTCCCTCTGTGCCTCCTCCCTTCTTCTCCCTCCTCCTCCTGTGCCTCCTACCCTTCTTCCTCTTCCTCTTAGTTCTTTCATTCACCTTCCAGAGCACCATCAGAGCACACATGTGCTTGGAGACGCCCTCACTGGAAGGGTAGTGCTGTGTCTAAGGTTAGTCATATTTAATGTTTTTCCAGTTGCCTTCTGGAAGCTCTGTATGGATCTCTTCTATTGCCTATAATGGACTAGGAAAACATGCTCTTTTGACTTGCAAAATAGACCCTTCTCTCTCCTTGAGCAGAGGGAAGCTTCTAGGGGAATGTACCCAACAAGCAAGAATTAGAATGACCACAGGAGAAAATGACCCTGTGGTGGTCTTAGGGACAGTGAGGATGGATGACTTGGAATCTATTGGGCTAGAATGGTAAGCTCAATGAGAGAGGATTGATTGTTAGTAGAGATAGATTCTGATTCCTGGTAGTTTAGTAAGTGTGGTTTTACAACAATGCATGTGGGAAAGAACTCAGTGTGGATCTGCAGCAGGGTACCTTATCTCCAGGGCTAGTCTCCAGTTGCCGGCCGAGTGTCCTGTGTGCTGCAGGCTGGTGATGCTGCTATCAAGTCTCCATTCTGGCTACTGGTCCATAAGGGGAATCAATGGAGCCTGGGTGAAGGTAGAAGCTTCTGAAAACAGGTGTCTCTAGTTCATCCACTTAAAGCTTTGAAAGCACTGGGGAGATTTAGCTCAGAAAAAAAATCCAGGCATGGTGAAACATGCCTGTTCTCCAGTATTTAAGAGCCTGAAGCAGTAGGACTAACCTAAGCTCTAGGCCAGCCTGGGCTACATAGTGAGCCCTTGTTTCCTGCTCATCACTGCCACCAACACCCCAGAGCTCCCCAAAAAGAAAGGAGAAAAGTCAGGAAGAGGACACTAAAAGTACTTTTCAGTATTTGTGCTTCATGGTAAATTTACCTGTACTATCTTTAAAATTAAAAAAAAATATATGGTTATTCAACACAAAGGTGAATATAAACAAGAAAGCAGAGACATGGAAAAATCATTATCCAAAAGGAATGCCAAAGTGTCTCTACGACACACACACACACACACACACACACACACACACACACACACACACACACACACACCAGAAGTATGATACAAATATGTACGTGTGGTATATGTACATATGTGTTCCTGTGGATTGGTATATGTAGGGGCCAGAGGATGACAGTGAGTATCTTCCTTCATCACTTTCCATCTTACTTTCAAGGGTCTCTTCCTGAACCTGGAGCTCATGGATCAGCTAGATGGACTGCTCAATAGGCTGAGGAGTCCACCTGCTTCACTTCCCCAGCACTGGGGTTACAAATGCACACTACCATATCCAGCTTTTACTGTGTGGCTATTAGGGATCCGAACCAAGTCCTTGTGGTTGTGTGGCAAGCACTTTATCCTCTAAGCCACATCCCTAAGTCCTCCTTTTCTCACCCAATATGGATGTATTTTCTGTATCAATGAGATCATCATACTTAATGGTAATTTACAAGTTTGTTATATAATTGTTTTCCAAATCTATACAACTGACTATTGGTAGAAATTTAGCTCTTGAATATTTTTATATTATAAGCAAACACATTCATCGGTATCCTTGTCTTAGATATGTTTTTAGGATAAACTACCATAAGTATGTTTCTGGAGCAGAATATTGCAAAATCAGAAAATGTATATTGTCAAACTGCCCTCAAGAAATATGGAATCAATTTAGACTCTACAATGATTTTGCTCTTATTTACATTTTTGAGATTGCTTTTGTACATTTTCGTATTCCTCATATGCCTAGTACCACAGCTCTTGTCAGTTTTTAAATGACTACTAATGCAGGTCCTGCCCATTTGGTGCCACCATTACAGAATGCAGCAGCCTGGATCGTTTATGAAGGGCAGAGCATTGCTTTTCACAGTTCTGGAGGTTGGGAATTCTCCGAGCAAGGTCCTGGCAGACTTTGTGTCTGGTGAGGACCTGATGTCTACTTCTAGGATGGCCCCTTGAATACTGTGATCTCCATAGGTTAGGAACAACTTTTCGGTATGGGAAAGAGCGGAAGAGGGTGACTCTATCTCCACAGGTCCTCTTTATAGCAGCATTTTATTTAGTTTTGTTGTTTCATTTTAAAAACAATCTTTTCTCATTTTACATACCAATCCCAGTTCCCACTCCCTCCCCTCCTCCTGCTACCCCTTCCTTCCCCCCACCCCTACCCCATCCACTCCTCATGTTAAGGCTTTCCATGGAGAGTCAGGGAACTCTGGTGCCTTACTTTGAGGCAGGACCAAGGCCCTCCCCCCCTATATCTAGGCTGAGCAAGGTATCCCTCCAAAGAGAATGGGCTCCAAAAAGCCAGTTCAAGCACTAGAGATAAATGCTGGTCCCATTGCCAGTGGTCTCACAGACTGCCCAAGCCACGCTACTGTCATCTACATTCAGAGGGCCTAGTTTGGTCCTATGCAGGTTCCCCCACTCTCAGTCTGGAGTCAGTGAGCTCCCACTAGCTCAGGTCAGCTGTTTCTGTGGGTACCCCTAAAAGGGGTCTTGACCCCTTTGCTCATATTATCACTCCTCCCTCTCTTCAGCTGGACTCTGGGAGTTTAGCACAGTGCTTAGCTGTGGATCTCTGCATCTGCTTCCATCAGTTACTGAATGCAGAGTCTATGGTGATAATACAGGGAGTCATCAATCTGATTACAGGGGAAGGCCAGTTCAGGCACCCTCTCCACTGATGCCTAGGGTCTTAGCCGGGGTCATCCTTGTGGATTCCTGGGAATTTCCTTAGTGCCAGGTTTCTTGCTAGCCCCATAATGCCCCCCTTGATCAAGATATCTCTTTCCTTGCTCTCCCTCTCTGTCCTTCCCCGATCCTGACCACCCCATTCCCCCACGTTCTTCTTCTCCCTCCCCTTCTCCCTTCCCCCTCCTCTTCCTCTTCCAGCCTCCCTCCTCCCCCCTCCCCCGCCATGCTATCAGATGCCAATTTTTTCAGAAGATCTCATCTATTTCCCGTTCCCGGGTGTGGGGGGGGGGATCCATGTATGTCTCTCTTAGGGTTCTCCTTGTTACCTAGCTTCTCTGGGGTCATGGGCTATAGGCTGGTTATCCTTTGCTTTGTGTTTAATATCCACTTATGAGTGAGCATATGCTGTGTTTGTCTTTCTGGGTCTGGGTTACCTCACTCAGTATGTCTTCTTTCTTCTAGTTCTATCCATTTACCTGCAAATTCCAAGATGTCATTTTTTTTTTCCCAATGAGTAGTACTCCATTGTGTAAATGTACCACATTTTCTTTATCCATTCTTTGGTTGAGGAGCATCTAGGTTGCTTCCAGATTCTGGCTATTAGGAATAATGCTTATAGCAGCACTTTAACCACACCCTGAAGATGGAGTTCCATCAGGCTCCTCCTCACAATGCCCTTGCATAGGGGATTAGGAGTCAGGATGAGTTTTGGAGAGGACAAAAACATTCACAATATTCTTTACTTATTTTTCTACTAAATGCACACTGATATGTGTTCTTTACATGTCTGATAACATTTTCTCTCTTATACACATCACACATACCCCTTCTTCCCTGTGCATCAATTTAATTGCTTTGTGGTCAGTTATTTTGGTGAACCATTTTGATTATTAAGATCTCAAGCTTTTAAAAGAAAGATTAATTTATTGTTTCATTTGTATATTTGTGCTTCTGAGTGTGTGCATGTGCACCATGTGTGTACAGGTGCCCTTGGAGGCCAGAGGAAGGTGTCAAATCTCCTGGAGCTGGAATTACAATGGACTGTGAGCTGCTTGATGTGGGTGCTGGGGACTGAACCTGAGTCCACTGCAAGAGCAGCCAGTGCTCTGAGCTACTGGACCATCTCTTCAGTCCTAGGGTTTTCAAATTCTATGTAGCAATTCTATGTATTACTTTATCCTCTAGTTATTATAATGGCTGCTGTATCAAAGAGGATTTACATGCACTCAGTTTATGAAGAGGGCAGAACCAGTCCAATGTAGGGATGGGTTGCAACATGGCAGATTTCAGCTAAACATAATAAACATTTTTTTTTCTAATTAGGGCCTTCACATATGCAGTGTGCTATGCAGCAGGTAGGGAGATGCCCACAGTCAGGGGCTTCCCCACAAGAGGTACATGGCTACCTGACATAGATGAGGTAAGATGATCTCTGGCGGTCAAGATCCCCTGTGTAAATTGAGAGCATGGGAAGAGGGGGGAGGGAGCTATGAGAATGAGAAGGGTAGAAGAGGAAGGATGCAGAGGTCATGAGGGAGCAGAAAGGATGAGTCAGGGAAGAACAGAAGGAAGGTGAGGTGAGAGGTAGGGTTTTAGTTGGGGGGAGTGTTAGGAGAGGACAGGAGGGAGAAGGGAATTGGGATTGTCATGTAAAACAATCCTGTTTCTAATTCAAATTTAAAAAATGATTTAAAAAAAAGATGATCTATGGCCTTCCTAGTTATTTACCACCTGCCACCCCTTAAAAAAACTATTTTAGTTATATTTTGAAATGTAGTCTCATATAGCCCAGAATGGGCTCAAAATTTCTATGTCGATGAGGGTGACCTTGAACTCCCAATTTGTTTTTTTCTGTACCTATCTCCTGAGTATTGGGATTACCTGTGTAGGACACCATGTTTGACTTGACCATCAATAACTTAATTGCATTTATTTTTCCTGGAGACCTTCCCACTCCTACACCAAACTTCAACACCATCTAAGCTTTGGCATTTCTAAGGGCAATTAGACGGAAGATGGTTACATAAGTGACAGCACTAGATGAAAATAGTTCTGAACCACTTATTGTAAGAGTGTATAACAAGAGAACACTCTCAGTCATGTTTTTGTCATTTATGGTTTTATTTTCACCTCCCTACATCAGCTTGCAGTCACAGACATTTCTGCTGGGCCCTAGAACATAAGAACTGGAGTTAGGAATATGGGCAGACTTAAGTAGAGCTGACTGCCTGGCACAGGCCCTGTGTTACCCTAACCAAATCTTTTTATCTTTTCTGAGACATAGTTGCCTTGCATAGCTTACATGATCACAAACCTGCAGCCATAGTCTTTCAAATGATGGGGTAACATATGTGTTCCACCACAGCAACCTTCCTGGCCAGATTTTACGGCAACAACAGAGCTGTGTTGGGTGGAGTCACTGAAGCAATCTGGTATGATGCCACTATTAGACAGTTAGTGATGCTGAATTGCCGAGAAAGGAGGGAACTACAAAGGAGCCTCACGTTTCTGTGACTGAGAATTGTGCCTAGATTAAGGTCAATTTGACTATTCATTGTATGATCATGTTTACTGCTGTTTGATAAGCAGGATTAGGAAGAATAGTTAAGGTCAAAGAGAAATTCTCTGCTGGCCAACTGAAGGTTATCTAATAGTCTAAGAGTTAAAATACCACACGTCTGTCACTCAAGGACACTGACGTGTGAGAAGGCCATCCTGGGACAGTGTGGCTGCCCAGCCCCAAAGGTGCGTCTAGAGGAGAAACAATGGAGGGGACCCAAAGTCTGAGTTGTTCACAAAAATTCATGTAATGATTCATGTTATTATTCCATTCTGTGCCCCATTACTCAACTGGTATATATTCGTTGCATGGATCCAACACAGGCATCGGCTATAAAATCGATGTCTGTCAATAATGGTGCTCCATGGTTGTAACTCACAGCATGAGAGTTCAAAATACCAAGCTTAATGAAATGAGGTGACCATTTTTGATGTAGTTTTGAAGATCATATTATAAAACCATTGTGAGAATGGAAAGATCCATGGAAATGAAAGAATAACTAACAATGAATTGCTGCAGAGCTTCCCTTCTCTCTTGGTTAATTCCTAGCGAACAAAGATCATAATTGCATACAGACTCTGTGTCACAGTTTTTATCAGCTTGGCACAAACCTAGATATACCTGAGAAGAGGGAATCTCAATTGAGGAATTGCTTTCAACATTGGTTTGTGGGACTTTTTCTTTTTTCTTTTCTTTTCTTTTCCTTCCTTTTCTTTTCTCCTCCCCTCCCTCCCTTCCTCTTTCCCTCCCTCCCTTCCTTCCTTCCTTCCTTCCTTCCTTCCTTCCTTCCTTCCTTCCTTCCTTCCTTCCTTGGTATATTCTGTCCATTTCCCATGTATGAAGAAATCCATAGATCACAGCTTACAACCCAGTGGGGATATGGACTTTAAATTAGTGATGAAGTCATGGTTTGTGAAAGACCCACAGGATACACTGGATTTTTTATGGTTGTAACATCAACACTTATGTCAGTAAAGACTTTCTGGAAAGACTAAAATTAAAGCAAACATTTTAAAAGCTGGTGGCCACATGAATGTTTCAGGGGATGGAAAAGCAGGTAGTAATGATCAGAGGCAGGGAGAAACTTAGATACACATGGCTGTTTCTGATACACAGTGTATAGTGTTAAGAACCAAAATTGAAATGAAGGGATCAGGAGTTGGCTCCTAACTTTGCTGTTTCTGGCAATATGTCTTTAGCTAATGACATTGTCTAAGTTTTGTTTCTCAAAGGATGATACTAAGACCAACATCACTGGGCTATTGTGAGACTGGAACGAGATAATGTATATATTGGTCAGCATGAATGAGGTTTTAATATCTAATGCTTCCTATTGAAAAGGCAGATGGTCAAATCTTCCTTTTACATAGTCCAACTGTGTTGTCTATGGCCACACACCAAGTGTTGAATTGTCTTAGTAGCTATTCTTCAGGCACAGATCCGGGCATGGTGAGACTGTGAAGAGAGTATGAGGCAGCTATCTAAACTCAGCATTCACTGGAAGACAAGGCTAGCTTAAAACGATGTCTGTCTCCACCTCCAAGCAGTTCATGGGCTCCTTTGGGGCAAGTAAAGTTGCATCCATGCTGCAGGCTAGATCTTATTTCCCACAAGAGTCCCAAATGCTTGGTCTAGTATATGTGCCCAGCAAATGCTATTTAAATTCAGAGCCAAGAACATCTGAGAACACAGGGCAGAACTGAAGGGTGATAAACATGACACACATCTAACTGTGCAGAGTTCTTCCCTTTATAGGTGACCACTATTGGCACTTTTATGTACACATAATAGATATTTCATAGATTCACATGACTATATTTACAAAGATGCTTTTACTACCTTGTCCCAATGCAGCAATAAAGTCACCCTAAACATTAATCTTTTTTTAGTCCCTGTAAGTTCTTATGACCATTACCTTTTAAATGACCTCACTTCTTTTCAGGGTTGTGATAATTGCTTTGAAGAGAAACTTTGCATTGAAAGTTACTTCTCCCTCCTGAAGAGTTTAATGCTGTTAAATTTCCTCAAGCTCAGGACTCCTCATGAGCAATGAACCTGCTTCTTCAATGAGTATATGTGTTAAAACTGCTACCTACTGACTGAAGCCTCCTCAAGTGAGATGCTCTTCTCTCTGGAGGCATAGGGTTTAAGTAGAACAGGAAGAGGCAAGAAAAAGGACACTTCTCATACTTGGAAAAAAAAAACCCTCAAACAGTGGTGGAATATTTTCAGTAATTGCATTGTCACAGACTAGAAGACTCTTGCAGCTGGGCCTGACCTGGGACCTTGAGGCTGCTCAGCTACATAGATGTCAGGTGGCAGCAACAAGCCACTTCTTCTCATCAAAGGCCTATAGACACTGCTAAGTGATTTCATGGCCAGTAAAGTATTGCAGGCTTGGGGACCAAGACTTGGGTGAAAGGGATGCTCGGGTGCCTGGCCACTGGGTGTGTGGGGATATGCACATGCTTGCACTCAGTACTTGGCTGTGAGCAGTTCAAGTGCTAAAGGACATCCTGGTTAGTCTAAGAACAGATGTTTCTTCCTTTGTGTAACCTACACTATAGAACTTGCCTCTTTGAGAAAATGAAAAAAGACACAATAACTCCTCTGCCTCTTGAGAGACAACAAGTAACCAACTTCGACTCTTTCATGACCTTGGATGTTACTTAAATCTGACAGCACACGAGGGTCTTGATCTCAGTCTCCAAGTGAGGGGGAGAAGAAGTTGCAGCCTGCCCCTGGTGTCCAGGTCAGGTCGATGCATTCATCATTGAGAGACTCACTGAGCTGGCAAGGTGGCTGGCACTTCTGAAATCAACGTGGAGTATCTTAATCATTATTTCCATCATCCACTGAGGCTTAGAATAGGTTTCAAGCCTCCCTACTTTTTCTCTTCTCACGTTTTAGTTTATTTTTGGAAGTGAGATCAATGGGTTGTACTTTGCTTTCTTTCAGGAACCTCTGGACTGCATTTCTAACCACACCTAGTAGCGGAGCACGTGACTGGACCTTCATGGAATATCTGATGGTCTTGTTGGGCTTGGTTTCCTGATCAGCTAATGATAGTTATGCAGCATACACTTCCAGTCTTGGACATTATTATTAAGTCTGGTGGGTGGTGGAAATAATGTGCTAAGTCATATTAATAAATAACAATGAGAATGTGAGCTGTAGCCTCTAACAGGTCACCAGTTACATGATAGGCCATAGGTCAAATATCAAAATGTGACTATGTGGCTACCTAGAGGAACACCACATGGGCAAGAGGTGAGTTTGCCAGAGGTTCCTGAGTACTTTAAAAACCCTCCTCACTGTTTCCCAAGACCCTCTATCTATCAAGAAGCCTAGGCCTTCAGGTGCTCTGGCTTGAACTGCATCAAACCTGTTCCTCATTTCCTCCTTTGACATGCTCTCCAATCCAGTCTGGTGGATATGAATGAGCAGACCAGAAGTGGAGCTTGTTTAGGGACCAGACAATTCCAGAAGGGCTGCTGGGTCCTGCTAGCCTGCTAACGGTTTTTTTTTTTTTTTTTTTTTTTTTTTTTTTTTTTTTTTTTTTTCTTTTGTAGTATCACCTGAAAGCAGGCTGTCAGCATGGTGCTGCAACCCTGGCTTTGGGTGAATTAAATTATTTATGTTTATAAGTACAGAGAGAGACCTTCCAGAAACTATTCACACGTGCCTTTACATATCCTTGGGGGAATACTGTCTAGGCAGGTCATTTATCTGTTACTCAAGAAGTCACTCATCCAGTGGAATATGCCGAAGTAGTGCATGGCCTATGGCAACTGTTGTGCCCACTAAGCTTATTATTACCTCAGTGAAGGCATGCATAGGACCCCTGGCAGAGAACTGGTTAAGCCGATTGGGTACCAACGTAAAGGAAGAGACTTTGAACAGAGGTGATAAACAATTGAGCTTAGGTCTTATAGGATGCTTAGAATTTTTTTCATAGGGGACATGCCACGTTCAGGATACAGAAAATAATTTTATAGAATTAAAGAGCATGATGGATGGGGGCTAGACAAGTAGATGGAGCCCTAACATGAAAGACGTTGTGGCCAGGTTGAGGTTTCCACACATCTTTTGTTGTTTTGAGACAGCACAGCATCTTACTTTGTAGTTCAACCTTGTCTGGAACTCACTGTGTATCAGGCTGGCCTTGACCTCGCATCAGTCTTCCTGCCTCAGCCACCTCTGTGCTGGAAGTACAGACATGTGCCACCAAGCCCATCTCTGCACATCGTTTCTTAAGGCAATGGAGAGCACAGGGGTGTTTGAGTCAGAGCAGATGGTCAGATATATAGATGAGAAACTCATGTCAGAAGTCAGGAGGATTCTGGGTTAGAGAAAAAGAAGACAGGCCCAGGGACCCATCTGTGTGCTGCAGGCATGAGGTGATGAGCACCTGACTGATGTGGTTAACATGCACTGGGAGGGATCATGAAGTCACAGTAAGGGGGTCCCCAAAGCTCTAAAGGTCCTAAGGATTGGAGTGGGCATCTTTTCTTTTCCCCTGAGGGCAGGCTTCTTTTCTACCACCCACCTAAATGGGTACTTTTTCCTCTTTTCCTGCTTCTTGCACTGCCCCAGGCTCATCAAGTCTGAAGAAATGAGACAGGCTATTGAGACAACAAGGCTGTCCTGCATGGGGAAGAAAGGCACATACATCAATAAGCATTCTAAGCAGCCTGCTTTCAGGCAGACCATTCTAGAAAAACTCAAGAAATCACAGTAGCAGCCCTCTCTAGGGCTTTTGGGACTTATCTCATGGGGCTCAGTGAGCTCCTTGGATGCCTTCAGAGTGTCCTCTGAAAGGTCTTTGGTCTGTTGGACAATATCTCCCTCACACCAGTGTGTGTGGTTCCCCATTAAGACCTGTGGTGGCTTTAGAAATGACCTCAGTCCCAAGAATTTGTTCTTTTTGTATTTTCAAACAATGTCCCCATCTTGCCAGAGGAAAAGGGAAAGAGACTCTCTAAACGAGCAGGCCACCCTTTGTTCTGGGTCCGCAGATCTGGCTAGAGCACATGTCCGGCCTTCCCACCCTCCTGCATCATTGTCCCCGCTGCTGATTAATAGGTCAGCGCTAACTTTAAACTGACATTTCCTGACCAGCCCATCTCCCAGCATTCCCCTGTCCCTTTAGGCCTGATGACTCCTTAAAAACCCTCTGTATTTTAAACCTTGATTTCATTCCATCCTGCAGCCTCTCACAGGGGGCTCTGTGAACACTCTAAGCCAGCCATTGGCCAAGAGTTGTACAGGGAGCTTTGAGGCTGAAAGTAGCCGTGGAAGTGGTGGTGTCTGTCTTCTCTGGCTCATCCAACCTTGGAAGGGGGTGCTTGAAGATGATCAGGGGAGATGAATGGGCAAAGGATGTGATGAAAATAAGGCAGGCAATTAATTCTTGCCAATCAAATCCTACCAAGTTAAAAAACATCAACAACAGAAAACAAAACAAACAAACAAAAAACTGTGAGAGAAGGTTCCATTGATGGTCCTGATGCTGACTCAATAAGGTAACCCACAAAGTAAGCATATGTTTTCTAGCTGCTTCATTTTGATAGTGACTATGCTTTCATGGATAAATTGGAGGCAGAGTTGTTAACATTTCAAGCTGGCTTTCACTTTGTGGGTTGTCCCTTAACCTTGAATTAACCATGGCATCTCTTCTTCTGATTGCAATGGGCAACTCACTAAAAATCCAGGTAAGGAGCCATTGGAATTGTTCCTCAGGTAAAGGTGCTTGCCACCAAGCCTAGTGCCTTGAGTTCCATCCCTAGGGACCCACATTGCACAGACTTCTGTTTAAAAATGTGTTGATAAAGTATGTGTATAAAAAGAATCCTCATGAGGCCTGGGCTGGGTTCAGCAGCAGCATCTAGATGAAGCATGTGGGAGACTCTGGACTCACCACCTCCAGCACTAAATAAACAATAAAATGTCTCTCATGAAACTGAAAACTTGTTCACTTCAGAGAAAGTTACTCTATATTGCAATCCCTTTCACTGCGTCTCCACTTTTTGTCTAAGTTTCATTGTGAGAACCCCTGACATTGAGCTGCAACCTAGGAATAGCTGAGCACCTTTAAAGGCAAGCTCAGATATGGAAACAGATGAGTGCCAGCCCCATTTACAGGGAGGACATGTGAGTCACAGGAGGTGAGGAGCTAAGTGGTAAGAGGCTAGCCCATACCTGTGCAGTTGGTAGAAACTGCATAGAAATTGAGGCAGGCCAACACTACATTCTTTTGAACATCTTGTTTCTCCAGTGGTCCCTCTGGCATTCAGGAAAAGTCACCATGTGAGCTTTTCAGTAAGCTTAGCAAGAGTCCCAAGCCTGTGTCTGCTGCAAGGAGGCACAAGGAGGCTGGAAAGGTCACTGAGATGAGTTTACATTGATGGATATGTGCTTTCAGAGCAGCTGGACAGGGATGATGTGTCTTTAGACAGTTGAGTACCTCTGCATCTCAGAGTCTTTCACAGTGGTGGCATCATGATGCTCAGACTACACAGAGCTTTGGTAGCAGATTTCTCTGCTTCTTTCACATCAGCAGCTGATCATGGGAGGAGTTACCAGAAAGAGACATACTCTGGGATGATCCAAAAGACCCAAACCGTGAATGACATTGAACAAATCCAATCTGGAACTCAGCAGTCTTGGCTTGAAGATGACTTAACTCCTTCAACATTTCAAACATTAGGCTATTCTTGAAATAAAACAAAACAAAACCCCCAAACAAACACATACAAAATAAATCTTCCTTCCAGATTGGTGACAAGAAAGATGATGCATGAGGTTCACTAGAGTAACAGAAGTTACAGAACAAATCCCTAGATATAAAGGGAATTGATTAGAATGATTTACAGGCTGTGGTCCAAGAATTCAACAATGGCTGGCTGTGAACAGAAAGTCCAGTAGTTACCTAGTTTAAAAGACTGGATATCTCAGCTGGCCTTCAGTATACGTTGGAATCCCAAACTAGTAGGCTTGATGTCCAGTTAAGGAATGGACTTGCTAGTGAGGTGAGGTCAAGCAGTCAAAGAGCAAAAGCTTCCTTCTTCCAGGTCCCTATATAGGCTTCCAACAGAAGGTATGGCCCAGATTAAAGGCGTGTCTCTTACCACTTTAGGATCCAGATAAGAAGAGGACCTTCCTACTTCAAATTAAGACAAAAAAAATCCCTTACTTGGGTACCCTCCATTTTTATATTTTAGTTAATTCCAGATGTAGTCAAGTTGACAACCAAACAACAACAAGAGGTAAGATTAAACAGCCTGCTACACTTCTTGCCAAGCTCTTGTCCTCCTGGAGGTCCCTCCAGTGGTATTCAGGCAGACTTTCCAGGGACAATCATGCCATCATTAGTATGAAAACTGTACAAACTCCACATACACAGAAGGGATAATGCCAAGAACACCAGCCTTCTGATCACAAAGATGCCTATTGTTGACACAGGTATATTAAATGTGTGTGAGAGCCAGTTGTGGTGGGGTGTAACTATAAAGGGGACACAGTCAGGAGTTTAAGGACTGTCTGGCCTGCCCAGTAAGATGCTATTTCAAAGAACAAAAGCAATCACCAAGTGTTGGTGCATGCACACTTATCTATGTGGCCCTCTAATACTCTCTACCTTACCTTAGCAAACATCAAGAACATCCTCCCTACCAATACCCATTCATTCACAGTGTCCTTCTGCATGGCGTGAAGGTATTCTATTATTGCACCACAACATTTTAAACCCAATTTCTATTTCCCACTACTTGTGATTTTGGTTGGTCTCAGGTTTATATTTATTTCCAAAGTGTGTGAACACTTTGCAAACATGGGTGATGCTGCCACGTGATGAAGACATTTCGGTTCAAAGCCTATATCTGTTCCTTCCTAGCCCGTTGATGTGCCAGTCACTGCACTTGTTTTGGTCAAAGTTTCCTACAGTGAAAAATATGAATTAATGACACCCATCAAGGGGGCATTGTGAAAACAGTCTTGTGCAGCATAAATTCACAGCAGAAGTGGCTGGAATTGGCCTAGCAGGGAATGCCCTTTTAGACTTAGGAAAAGTGATCAGAGATGGGACTGGGAGCCTGGGATGTCCCTTGAGTGTTCAGTTGGGGACAGTAGGCAAAGGTGGATTTCTGCTTTGACCTTGTAACTAGGAGTC